TTAAACATCAGTTTGTTTTAGTGTCAAGTTTATAACGTTTTAATCTTCACTGTATAAATATTTTTGTACTAACATTTATCAACAATTGATTCACAATTTTTGAATGGTAGTGAACATGACTGAGTGTATGATGAGTATATTTACATTTGATTTTGCTGTTATTGGTAACATATTGGTATGGGGGACATTATAACTCTTATTAAACCTAATCAAGCATGCAGCTGATACTTAACTGGCTGCTCTTTACTACTTTAAGTACTTAAGAGTGTGAACTGTGGATTTTTCAGAGAATAGTAATTACATGCATTATGACTGAGATATTGCCATTATGGGTTAATTAGCATAAGAATGCTGGAGAGTCTACTGTCCAACTGTTGACTTGGAGTGGCTGAGATGATGTCAGGCATTTTGTGCAAACTAAACAATTTATTTATTTTAAAACAGTAAACTAAATGTCTTTAACTGTGTACATTTTAAGCCACACATGATCCAATATCAGTGTCTGTGGTTTTGTTGTTGGTTTAATGTCTTTTAGCAACATCAGAATGAGCGGAGTGCCGTCATGCTCTGAGAACAGTGCTGGGAGTCTCAAAGCAGTTTTCTGTGTATTATTATATGTCAGATTCTGTGTTCATGGGTCTTCTGTCTGTCTTATTCTCTCAAATCGCAGTCTTGTCTTTACCTACTTGTCAATCAAATGTGTTAACCTGCCCACCAAAGATGTGCATCCTGCTTCTTTTTGAGGACGAGACAAGTTTGGAAAGGCCATGTCTCAATGCCCCAATTTTTGGTTAGATAGAAGTGCAGCCTACACAAGCTAACTAAGAAATGACTGCATAAGATTCATATCCTGAACACATGCTTTCAAGATCTTCTGCAGAAGCACAGTCTGCACCTCACTGGTCATCCAGACTGTGCAGTGGTGCATGATGGGGAGCTTTGCGGCTGAATCTTCAGTATGGTTCAAACTATGGAATCTCAGAAAGGAGGGGAGAACTCGTAGGATAGTTTGCCGGTTGTTTACTGCAGTGCTGCAGTCACAGCAAGGAGAAAAAGATCATAAAAATCACAATAATTATATTTTCAGGGGGTTGAGATGAAAAACAGTGTAGTGTGAATCGCACTTGTTTTGAGAAGTTTTAAACCCATTCATGGTGGAGAGATACATGCAGGGTGTCGTGAGGCAAAATAGTCCCCAAAGAAAACGTCTTCTGCAACATGGGACCGTCAACATTTGTATCTCGGTTTATGTTGGTTTAAGAATTTTTACACCCCTAATAATGATATATAATAGTATTAAACATAATATATGATGATATATATAGTTAATAGATAAGGTTTAATGAAGTTAATAAATTACCATTAATGACAACATGTTTATTAAGCAGATATTATACTGGAAGAGCTGGACATCTTATCGCTATAAATGTACAAATCAGTTATTATTTTATTGTAAATTTGTATTCACTTAATTAAATTATTTTGTATAAACTGAAAAATTAACATGTCATTTATGTGTAATTAGAGATTGCTACCATTATTTTTCCATTTTATTACCAACTAGTGACCAGTACAATTAATGAACATATTATTACTAATTGTTGTTTACTGTTTATTAACATTTAGAATTTTAGCATGCGATTTTTAGGGTAGTACAACTTATTACTGTAATATTATCGTGTTATTACCCACTTATTACTGATCTATAAAGTGATATACAGCTCATATACGTTCATTGTATCTGTGATGTCTTGAAAAAAAACCAACACATCTACCTATTTAGCCTATAGCAGTTTAGCCCCGCCCATTCACACTGAAATTATAAGGAGTATTGCCACTTTTTGAAAGAGGCCTAGCCAATCAGGACAGAGCTCATTTGCATAGATCAGTCTTAAAGGCACAGAAACAAGTATAAGAGAGAGAGAAGTTGAAAATGGACATGTAAATATGAATTATGAATGTTTTGTGCATAAAACCACACAAACATCATTAGTGGATAACAAAAGAGTAGAAAAATGTACTGGCCTTTTATGAATGAGCTTTTCATTAAATTCAAATCACATTATAATATCTCTTCTTCTGCTTACTCACACAAATGTGGTCTGTACTGAAAGTTTAGAATCTGCACTTTCCACACAGTTTCTCCACTTGTTTCAGTGAGCTCATTTTAATTTGCTAATTAGTATAAAATTACAGCATGTTTTCATGCTGTCGTCCCTACAAGGGTTTTAATCTGTGATTTTGATACCAGTAATGACGAGGTTCATCTCTGTTCATTGTTTAGCTGAAATTCCTAGACTGAGCCCGCGGCGCTGTGCTTGTTTACCGGCGCTAGTCACGTAGAGCCAAAGGCTTTTCCACTCGGTGCTGCTGTGAACGAGTTGCTCTTTTCACTTCGTGCCCTGTAAGCACTCTCTGGCCTGCGCTCGCGGTGCCGGTGGTGATGTTTTATCGTAAGCAGCTGTTTCTGTGTCGGCTGGTGGCTCCAAGTGAGCGGTGCTGAGGAAGGACAGGGAGAAGTATTAGCGGGCGGTTAGCGTTCATGCTTCAGTGGAAGTGTAAGTGTGGCAGGACGCTGGGATTTATGAGCCTGCTGAGATTAACTGGATGGATTAATGGAGTTGTCCCAATAGAACTACTGCTTCTTCATTTCCTTTTCTCTCTCTCTCTCTCTCTCTCGCTCTCTCTCTCTCTCTCTCCATTCACACTTCATCTCATCCTCTCATTTACTGAACTGCTGCTGTAGGGAAGAATTTCTCGGCGATAGAACTGATAAAATTTAACATTACAGTCTTTTCCGAATTAATCACAACATCATAAACTCAGATGATATTTAATAAAGTTAACAGGTTAGCAGTAGTAAGATTAATAGATCAGGTTTAATGAAGTTAAGAGGTTAGCTTAATGAAAGAAACAAGTTGGCACTGATACTTATAATAAGTTAATTAATGATGTTAATAGGTAAACATTAATGAAGTTAATAATATTTGCATTAATGAAGTAAATAGAGTAGCATTATTGAAGAAGGTCAGCACTAATGATGTTAATAGGTTAACATTAATGAAGTTAAGATATTTGCTTTAATGAAATTAATACGTAAGCACTGATGAAGTTAATGTGCTAGCATGAAAGAAGTTAATAAGTAAATGAGCTAGCATTAATGAAGGTAATAAGAGCATTAAGTTAGTCTGAATACATTTAACAGATTAGCATTATTAAAGTTGATAGATTAGAATTAATAAAGTTAATTGATTAGCATTAATAATGTCAGTAGGTTAGCGTTAATGTAGTTAATGGGTGAGTGGTAATAAATTTGCATTAATGAAGTTAATGGGTCAACTTTAATGAACGTCATGCATTGCATTAATTAAATTTATATGTTCACATTAGTGAAGTTAATGAGCTAGCATTAATGAAGTTAATGAGTTAGCATTAATTAAGATAATAAGTTAGCTTGAATAAAGTTAATTGATTAGCATTAATAACATCAATAGGTTAGCATTATGTAGTTAATAAACTTGCATTACTGAAATTAATAGATTAGCATTATTGAAGTTAATAGGTCAGCATTAATGAAGTTAACAAGTTAGCTCTAATAAAACTAATACATTTGCAATTATTCAATTAATATGTTAGCATTAGTGAAGTTAATGAGCTAGCATTGAAGAATTTAATAAAATAGCATTAATTAAGATAAAAAAAATTAGCCTGAATACATTTAATAGGTTAGCATTAAGAAAGTTAATAAGTTGCTAGAAAGTAGTGTTGTTATTTATAAAATCATAAAGTATTAGTTTATGTTGAATGAATATGTTATGGACATTTCAATCTACTTACAGAAACCAAGGACAGAAGTTACGGTGGTCCAGTACGGGCTATAAATGTCAAAAGTCAGAGTAAACAATAAAGCTAAAAGAGTTAAGAAACACCTCTACAATGATGCTAATTTCTGTTAGCACTCCTATGGCATTTCTAATAGAGGATTAGTGATAAACTAACACTGGAACACGTGAATATTTTTGGCTGCTCTAGATTGAACACAAACATTTGAAGCTTGTAACAGACATTAACATATATTTGAGCTTGAATGTTTGTATTAGATGTGTTTTTCAGTAAAGAGTTCTGGCACAGAGCTGCTGCTGTTTTACATTCCTAACAACTAACCCAAACCTGCTTAGACTACGACTCATATTCACAGTCAGTGATGTATATAGAACTTCCAGTAGGACTACAGTGAGTTTTTTCTGTCAAAATTGGTTCCATTGTAAATCAAAGCATGATTTGTTGATTCCTCTGTCAATTCCTAACTATGTTGGTAGTTAATCTAATGTGTAAAGCTTTCTGTCCAGCTCCTGAAGTCCTAACCAATGGTAGAGAAGCGTGACTGTATCTACATAGATACCACAGAGAAAACAATCTTGATTGGTTAATTTACTGTTGGTGGTTTTAAGGTTTTAACCCTTTTCTTTTCAACCAAAACTTAACAATGAAAAAAGAATATTATTACAATATTTAGAGTTTAAATACAACAAGAACGATGCTTTTATTTAATAAGTGAAATATGTAATATAGATGCTTTTACATCCCAGAAACCTAGGCTTTTTCTAAAGCTCTAGAAGGAGCTGAGGATTCCCCTCGGCCAGCACTATATTGACTAAAAGGACAGATAGAGGGTCAGTACAACCTGTCAGTTTTTCTTTCTCTCTGCTCACTTCTTTCTTTCCTCAGTTCCACTTGTCTTCTCTTATTTGTCCTTATATTTACTCTCTTCCTCTCACCGTCTCTCTTTTGCTCCTTTTGCTTTATTGTTCTTTCTCTCCGCACATTTCTCTCTTATTGAATGACCGCTGTTCTTCTGGATAGAAAAGAACAGGTTGGGATGGACAATTCTCTCAAGATGACAATTCATTCAGCCCTCTTTATTTGACAATTTCTTTGGCCCTTCTCTCTTTTTTCCTTCACCCCTCCTCATCTTTTTTCTTCTTTCTTTCTTTTCTCAGCTGCCATTGTCCCCCCCCGTCCTTGGAGCAGGTGGAGTGTAACTTTGCATGGAGTAGCGAAGTGAAGAGGAGAAGACAGAAAAAATCTGAAAAAAAGGAAAAGCAGAACCTACAGAAAAGCGCAGAAGGAGGAAAACGAAGAGAGGAAAGAAGGAAAAGCATGAGGTTAGAATGGAGGTGAGGGAGCGACAGCCGTTCTGTTCCCTCTCTCGCGCCCGGAGAGAACGAGGGAGAGGAGGAGAGAGAGAACAGGAAGAAGACGGAGGGATGGAGGGGCTCAGTGAGCGGCGGCACGCGGCGACGTCCGTGCTTACCCAGAAATCCTACAGCTCCAGTGAAACCCTAAAGGCTTTCGACCAGCCGGCCGGCGCTCAGCCGATCTACTCTCACCGCATGCCCGATATGGTCCCCACGGAAACGGAGGAATACCGAACTCCAGGTCAGTGCTTCATGTACTGCTTCAGGGATTGACGATACAGGCCAAATTTTATACTATGATATTTTCAAAAAATTATATCATGATATTTTATATACATTTCATTCGCTAATAGTTTCAAAACATAACATTATAGCGAAGACATGACAGTGTTTTTAAGAAAGTGCAGTCACTTCAGGACTGAGAATCTAGGCAACATTTTATATCATGGAATTTTTAAAAATATACATTTTTTTTTATTTTACATTATAATTTTTTTCAGAATATGACACTTTATTTTGGACAATAACAGTTAATGGTATATATCATGATGTACGCATAATGTGGTCACTTCAGAGTTAAGCAATTAAAGCTAAAAATTTCATATGCTAATATTTTCAAAACATAAGATGATATGATATACATAATAGTGTACACATTTTCAAGAAAGTGCAGTCAGTTCAGGGCTCAACATTGTAGGGGACATTTTGTATCTTAAATTTTTAAAAATTATATCATAATTTTTAAGTTTTGCATTATGATTTTTTTTTTAAATATGACATTTTATTTTGGATAGTAACAGTAACTTGTATACATCATGATTTGCATTTTATGGACATGCAGTGATTTCAGGGTTAGGCGATATAGCCAAAATTTTATATTATGAAATAAAAAAAAAATCATATTGTTGCATTTTCAAAAAAAAAGGACAATAAGTTATATGGCGTATATCACAGTATGTATATTTTTATAGAAAAGCAGTCATGTCAGGATTGCGCAATATAGGCAAAATTTTATATCATGCTATTTTCAAAAAAATGTATGTCATGATATATTAGCATTTTCATATAATGCAGTTTTCAATTTGTAGGACCATTGCGATATATGCTAAACATCATGGTGTACACATCTTCATTAAATTCTGCATTTTCAAAAAAGTGCAGTCACTTTAGATGTGAGCAATATAGACAATTTTTTTTTTCATTTTTTACAAAAAATTGTTAAATGAAAAAATGATTTTTTTTATATATGTCATGATGTACACATTACTATGGAAGTGCAGTCACTTCAGTGTTGGTCAAAAGGCAAGATCATGATCATGATGTTTTCTAAATTTCATTTCATATATTCCATTTTTTGGATAGCAACAGTAAATTGTATATACAATTTTTGTGTAAGCAAACATTCTGAAAATCACAATGTAAATAAGTGAGTACTTAAGTCACTAGAATAGGAGATATTAGTCCATAAACAACCTCAATAAACACTCTTATACACTAGAATAGGAGATATTAGTCCATAAACAACCTCAGTAATCACTCGTATACACTAGAATAGGAGATATTAATCTATAGGTGACATTAATAAGCTCTACACTACAATAAAAGATATTAGTCCATAAACGACATTAATAAGCTCTACACTACAATAGGAGATATTAATCCATAAACGACATTTAATAAGCTCTACACTAGAATAGGAGATATTAATCCATAAATGCCATTAATAAGCTCTACACTACAATAAAAGATATTAGTCCATAAACAAGCTACCAGACTCTGAATGTTCTTCAGGACGCGTCTAAATCGCTATACATCACCAGCAAAGATGGTGGATGAAAACTGAACTGTATAGGAAACAGCACATCGAGCACTGCAGCAGTGCAGCAGGACTAGCTGTTTGTTTTTTTCTACAAATTTCTACAGTGGCTTGATGATGAAGGAAATGGTCCACGCTGACAGTCTCGAGCTTGTTAGTTAGTGCAGTGTCTGTAGTCTCTCAGGGAAACCTGCAGCTCTCTCACTCAGAGAATGGAGCAGCGAGGCCTTACAGACAGCGAGGACGCCAGGCCAGTCTGACAGGGTTCAGCTTTCTTTGAGACTCTGCCTTCGCCGGGACCCAAACAGAACCTTAATCTTTACCTTACCTGAATTACAGCTGCAGCCCAATCGCAGCCGGGCATGTCGTTTGTGCAGGTTTTATGCATTTACATTTGGGTTCAGCTTTGAAACACATTTGTGCATTTTTTTTCGAGTTAATCTCAGAGTTATACGCTGGAGGATTGAGCTGTTACCTTCTTTTAAATAACTGAGGTGACCTTGATCTGCAGAACATAATTTGATACTAAATTTAGCAGAATGATAAACAAATCAAAATTAGAGCAACGATGACGAGTTTGGACATGCACAGTGTGAGTGTCGAGAGAGAGAGAGAGGGAGAGAGAGCATTGAGTTGTCTGTATGTTGGTAGTATTTAAAATCTTGCATAGGTTGCCTTTTTTTTGGTCTTTTTAAAATAATTTGATATTTCAACTGAAAAACTGAGGATTTCAATATTCGAGTAAACAATGTACAGGCAGAAATCTCTTCTTTAATAGATTATTTTGCCATAGGGTAGTGTTTATTAATTTTAGCATCAAACACATACATAGACATTTATCTATATCTGTGAATCTTCAGGTTAGTTAATATGTGTTTGTAATAACACCACACTCAAAAACAAGAATCAAGGCTGTTTGATGTGCAAATTAGGGCCTGACCAAAATGAATATTTTGTGCCTAATATTGATAATGATTTTAAGATAAGTGGTAAGATCAGCCTATATAATTGTGTCTTTACATTTAGAATTTCTCAATAGACACATTTCTTAAACTCAAACAAACAGCAGCTCATTTTTAGAGTTATGTAGTACATAAACATGTGCTGTTCACTCCTCAGTCCATACAGCCCATATGTGGAAACTAAGCTGCAAAAACAGCCAGATTTTATTGTTTTTGTGATGTCATAAAAACCAACACATTTACATGTATCCGCCTATTAAACCATAACATTATAGCCTACCCATTCACACTGAAGTTATAAGGAGTATTTCAGCCCAGAATGCTTTTTAAATGAGATACAGCCAATCAGAACAGAGCTCATTTACATATGTGACTATTAAAGACACAGTAACAGAAACAGGCTGATTCATTCTGAGGGATAAAGAGAGGAGGAAAAACGCTGGGATAAAGTTTGACTATAAATATTATAGGTGGACAAGGAGAAAAAAAAAATGTGTAGGATGTGCACCTCTTCAAATAATATTAATATTAGAGCACTGGGGGCTGGCACTACCCAGAATTCCATACTATTTTGGTTTCTGTTTATTCCCTATTATTTTTCCTAATTTTCTTTAATTCTCTTCATTGAACTGTTTTTTTGTAATTGTTTAGTTCTCATATTGGGTTCCTGAGTGGACCAGCTGTCCCCAGCTTTTCCCAACATCTAAAAAAATCAAAAAAGTCTGTAATTATTGGTGATATTTTTGCTAATACTGATCATCAGAATCAGAATCAGAATCACTTTATTTTGTCGAGTGTGTTACACATACAAGGTATCAGTCTTGGTGAGTCACACATGTATGACATGTAACACACTGAACAGACCAGACAAGCACACAGACTGTTAACAAGTATTTAACAAAGAGACAAATACAATAAAAATAGAATAAATAGAATAGTCTATTAAAGCCTCAGTGTGAAATAAGCTAAAGAGATGTGTGGGTGTCTGTACATATGCATGTCTGAGTGAACATATAATATAATAACTGTTATTTACAGAATTTTACAGAATGATATGAATATTTGTAAGATGAACATTTGTGCTGTTGTGCAAATAAGTATTATGCTACAGGAGGAGTTATACTGTTATACAATAGATAGTTTGCTGGGTTCAGTTTAAATTCGAATTTAAATTGCAATAAAACTTCATTAAACCCGCAGATTGTGCATATCAGCTTTCGTTTCCTATATGTCAGCATGAATTGTGACTGCATTTCATCTTGAGGTAACAAAGTCTGTGTACTGACTGTGCTGTATTTGAATGAATGTATATATAGTAGTATGGAAAAGTAGTGCACCTCTGGTCAAATGACATGTTGTTGTTGATTTTCTAAGTGTAAATAAGTTATTACATGCTCGACAGAGAACATGCTTAAAATGGCATTTTCTGCAAATATTAACGCACAACTTATTAGTTTGTTGTTTTGTTTAACATACTGGGGAATAATTAAAATACAAAATACATAATGTGCCATAACTTTTGCACAGACCTATTTTCACATTTTATGTTGCTTTTACCCCTCAGTGTGTTAAATTCAGCAAATAAACAGTGATTGTGTATTAACATGTGCAGAAGTATGTTTACTACAGAGGATGTGTCACTTATTTTCATTAAGAAAATTAACAACAACATGAAAATACCTTAATGCATTTGTTTTAGTGTATGTCCTTATGATGAGTGATTTGAGCTTAGACTCGTGTATGATCTGAATAATTGCATCCTTTTTTAATTACTGGAGTCATTTACTGTGTATCTTAGAGGTGTTTCCTTTATTTTGTCCTGCACTGCCCATTATTTTGACTGTTCTGTGTTTTTGGCTGCACACACAGGCTCTGATCTTCAGAATGTGATATTATAGCACACCTAAGGCAGCCTAAAGTAACTAAAGGTGGAATTCTGTGGATTTAATTAAAAAAAAAAAAGACCAAAAATCATAATTTGGAATAAAATGTTAAAGCATGTAGGACTAGTAGCATAAGATGAGTGCACTCTGAAAAATTATAACTCACTTTGTCTCATATATTGTTAAATATGTGTTAAAAGTGGCTCAAATGTGTTTTCCTTGACTAGAAATGTAGATGTGCATGAGTAAATATAGATAAATATTTAATAAATATAGAAATAAATACAGAATTCAATGAATATGACCCAAAATCATTAAACCTGTTTATAAAATGTGAGAATGTGCATTGTTTTCAATGCATGTTTGAGTGTTAAAGTAATCTGCTGGGTCTCCCACTGTAAAAGATTTCCACCCCTGTCTTTGTTCGGTGCCCTCATTTCAGATCTGCTCGCCCGCAGCACACGCTGCACTCTTCTGCTGATTGTTCGCAAATTCCTGAAACCATTTTATAAATATTTGATGCATGATCATGATAAGGCAGTTATTAGAGCTGTTTCCAGGGACCTGCACTGTAGTTACA